TGCTCCCCAAAAAAATTTAGGTCCATTGCTACTGAAAGGAAACTACTACATTTTATGCTTGTCTGAACCTTGATTTGCGTTAGTTCTGTAACGAATTGTTTCCCCCGTTGCTCCCTCACGCATAGAACTTCTTTGATTACTTGTTCGCCTGTAGTGAATGTGGCCTTGAAACCGCGATACGGTACACGCTTACGACAGTTTTGACTTTTGACGATGCGGCAAACTGATTGATTTGCTACTTAGAAATTTTTTAGCATCTGAATCTCTTCCCAATTTGTTATCAAACCACTAACTGTTAACAAAATATTTTGCAAGATTACAAAGCATTTGGACTAAATTACAAAGCATTTACGTTTGGCTTTAAGACTACCCAGTCGTTCCTTCGGTAACCAAAATAAAAGTACTTTTATCGCTCTTCAATGAACGTGAATTTATTATGTCTGTATGTTCTTACAGAAAATTGCAGATATTGGTTCGCAGTGTACAAGCTACAAATGAAATTCGAAGTTAATGTGCTGCAGCAAAGTTGTTCAGAGATTGCATAACGTGAAATTTCATTTCCACAAACCGTCAAAATACTTTCAAATTGAACGAGAGGGCCATACGTTTATAAGCGTGATTTATGCAGGCTTTTATTGCAATAAAGAACTTCTAAAATGATACGAAAATATGCAGTGTTGTGGAGATGAAACTAAATCTAAGAGAACAGAAACAAAACGCCAGGAAATGCCCGAATGTGATATCAAAACGGCGAGCAGCGGGCCATGCATTCGTCATAGGTCTTGAAGTTATTCCCGTTGCCGTTGCAACCGCCGTAAACGAACTTGTAACACTGACCTCGCTGCGCATCGTAATACCATCGTTGAACGTAGGCCAAACAGTTACCGGGCTCGCTCGGAAGACTGCATTGGTCTAAAGACAATCGGTCGCATGCCTTACAGACTCCAAAGCAAAGGTGCTCAGACTACCGTCGGTTGGTTCCCTGGTCGGAAAGCAAATGGTCTCGCATTCTTGGCGACTCAAGAAGTTATTTTCGTTGCCCTTACACCCACCATACAAAAACGGCTGGCACGTTCGTGTGCTCGGCTGGTAGAACCATCGAGTGTTGGCACCTCTGCACGGTCCCATATCGGCTTTGAGGTTGCAGAAGCCTGGAAAAAGAAGCCAGGAATCAGCAATGATTAGATTAATTAATATTAGTCGATTAACTTTAATTGAACCAAGAAGCTCGCATTATCACTGGAACGCTGTGTCTGAAAATACGACTTCTCGCAGCTCATTTGTGCTTTGAGCGTTACCTGCATTGTAAGTCACATTTACAACTATTTCCTGTTAACACTTCAAGCATAAGGGTTGACAGATGTCATTATCCATCTTCGTAATCACTTGTCTTGACCAGAGTTGTTCCGTGGATAGAAAAGAAATCAGAATCGAGAGATTCCTCAGTTCGAGGTCATATCGTGGTCACTCGCCTTTCTTTATTCCGAATCTCACTCGATGGGGAGCGAAGAGGAGATCACAAACTACGAATAGATGCTGCCCTCTCCATCTTTAATAACAAGCACTCCTAGCCGATACTATGAGATGAGATCAGCGCCCTCCATTAACTTTATAAAAGAAGGCTCCATCATGAGAGTGCAAGGAAGAAGGACATTCGAGTATTGACTTTGCGTCATATACTTTTCAAACTTTTAGGAAATCTCTAAAATTAATGACTTTCTACTAAAATGTCCCGATTTTCACTGCGTGTGGGAAGCCATAAATTTTGTATAACATCATTACAGTCTGCATTGCGTATCGAATTTCAACTCCTGAGAAAAATACGAATCATTGTATTCTGATAGCAGGTGCTGTGTCAGAGTTAACCATTCAACGTTCGCACCGGTCTCCGCCAAGGTTGCGTCCTGTCCACTATCCTGTTTGTG